ACTAGCGGGACTGGCCTGAGGGATTTTAAAGGGGGTTTTAATTACTTTTAAATTGGACATATTTAAATATTTCATTTTAATCGAATTTTAATTAAGTATATGTATATATGTTAGTATTTTATTCAATTGTCAGCCGCCCTGAGTCCGTAAGGAGAAGGGCGGGATATAAATGCAATTAATAAATAAATAAATAAATAAAGGCAAAAATTGACCATGGATCCAGAATATCCACTGTATTCCATTAGAGGAGAATATTTGTTGCTCAGAGCTAAAATGAATGTTTCTTAGTGCTCTCTAAGCTTGGTTGTTTTCTTGCAGAAAACATTATCCAAGCCAAGTAGCATCATCAGTGATAGTGCCTAGATGGGTCATGAAACATCTGCAAAAAACAACCAAGCTCAGAGACCACCAAGGACCCCTTACCCATTGTATTCATTTGGATAAATGAGACAAGCCATCACCTTAGTACAAATCATTCTGTTTTCCCAAAGTGATATTATTTTTATTTTTCACAGCTGTGGCCTAGTTGTCTATCAATAAAGCAATGGTCATTTAACTTGTATATTTGCTGAATTTAGTCTTCTCTTTCATTTAACATGTAAAATATAGTCCATGCTCAGGTGAAGTAATTGACGGCTTTATTTAGTAGCAGGCATTAGGAGTATATTAAATCAAATAGCTAAGGATCCCTTAAGTAATTATTGAATTCATTTTACTCCTGAATGCATGAGATTTTTCTATTACATTAGGGAACCCTACGTTATTGGCAGGCAACAGCTCGCCCACTATTTCCCACCTAGTAGCATCTCTGGGAGAGGCAGGAAACATTTCAAAAAATGTAACATTATTTGACGTATTTCACATTAGCTCTTTATTGCTTTCGGTTGCAGAATTATAAATAGCACAATAACAAACGTTGGCATGTTCCTACTCAGAAGTCCACAGGCTTCATTTTGGTTCCCCCCTCCCCACTCAACACAATTTTTCATTTTTTTTTTCAGAATTTGCATGTACTTTCCAACTAAGTTTGTTTAGTAACTTTTCCCCCTCAATAGGCACTACAGGTTTTGTCTAGATTTTCTTTAATTTCAGGAGATACTAAGCTATCCCCAAGTTTCTCCATTCAGCCATACACCTGGATAAAGCCACATGGATGATATTCTATTACCTATATTATCCAGCATAAATGGTTCTTAGGTTATGGGTCAGTGATAACATCAAGTAGCATAATTTAATTCGCCAGATCTATAGCAGTTCATAGATTTCTGAAGATTAAAAAATTAAAAAAATCTGGTGGATACCAAAATGGTTTGACATAAAGCAGACCCATTGCAATCTTAAATCTTCTGAGACTCCTATGGAATCTTCTATTTGAGGGCAATTTTTTTTCAGGTTGAATCCTTCAATTTATTTTATTACAGTCATGTACCAGATCCACTCTCTCACTAATCTTGAATTCCATGAGATCTCAAGGCAAGCTAAACCATTAATTAAATTCAGAGAGTGGGTTGATGTAACATTCTAAAATATGTTAAGTTGTAGTTCAGAGTATCATATCAAAATTGCCTGTGGTTGGGTTTTTAAATCCTTCTCTACCATATCTTTTGTGCAATATTCTCATGCTAATAAGCATATTAATAGAAGAGATTATTTATAGTTTAGGATTGAACTGTAGAGTCATTGGAGCTCTTGGAATTTTTTTTTTTTTTTTGCAAATATTTTATTACCTAACTAGGTAATATCTTCAACAAATAGTGAAGGTGCTGCTTCAGACTAAGCTTAGAGAACACCAAGCACTCGGGTAAAGAAATTTATTGATCCGCAAATGTTTTACTTGGTTATTTAAAATATAGATTTCTTCTTCTTCTTCTTGTGCCATATCCGTTATCGGACGTTGGCGATCATGTTGGCGATCCTGTTTTTATCAGCAGCCGTACGAAAAAGTGCTGTGGAGTTTTGTCCAAACCAAAGATTTAGAAACAAATTTAAATTTCATTTATAAATGGAATATAAATAATGACAGAATTGCCAAAAAATATTGAAGGGAGTAGAGACTGACGGATTGATCCATAAAGACAATGGTTTCCATTACTCAGTTCTTGGGCTCTAGTTCTGAATCTATCTCTATGTTCAACAGTGATTGGAAATCCTCGGTGATTACGACATGGTTATTTTCATCGAGGATAGTTTTATTGATTAAAGTGGACCAGTGCAAGTAGGTAAGAATTCAGAGGAGTTCAATGGCCAAAATTAACAAATGTTTTCATCAAATAGATTTAAAGCATCTTGCTCAATAGTAGTAACTGTGAGAGGGACCTAGGAGTCCTAGTGGACAATCACTTAAATAGGAGCCAGCAGTGTGCTGCAGCTGCCAAAAAGGCCAACACAGTGCTAGGCTGCATTAACAGAGGGATAGAATCAAGATCACGTGAAGTATTAATACCACTTTACAATTCCTTGGTAAGGCCACACTTGGAATACGGCATCCAGTTTTGGTCACCACGATGTAAAAAAGATGCTGAGACTCTAGAAAGAGTGCAGAGAAGAGCAACAAAGATGATTAGGGGACTGGAGGCTAAAACATATAAGGAACGGTTGCTGGAATTGGGTATGTCTATTTAACGAAGAGAAGGACGAGGGGGACATGATAGCAGTCTTCCAATATCTCAGGGGCTGCCACAAAGAAGAGGGAGTCAAGCTGTTTTCCAAAGCACCTGAAGGCAGGACAAGAAGCAATGGATGGAAACTAATCAAGGAGAGAAGCAACCTAGAACTAAGGAGAAACTTCCTGACAGTTAGAACAATTAACCAATGGAACAACCTGCCCCCAGAAGCGGTGAATGCTCCAACACTGGAAGTTTTTAAGAAGAGACTGGACAGCCATTTGTCCGAAATGGTATAGAGTTTCCTGCATGAGCAGGGGGTTGGACTAGATGACCTCCAAGGTCCCTTCCAACTTTACTATTATCATTATAAGAAGAAAGACCAAGTACAGGAGAAAGCAAAACTGACAGATTCATCTATCCTTTGCTTGACATGTTGCCTTGAGGGTGCTACCAAGGGATTTAGGCACTTTTATTGAGTTTCTCCTACTTGAAACTTACAGGCCACCTGTCTTCCTGACTAGTAATAAAAAAAATCACTTTATCTGACTGACTTTCCCTTCCTGGCAAACACTTTAAAAATAGCACTTGAAAACTGAGAAAACAGCAGGTGGCTTCTTGAATTGTAGACACCAAGGCTACTGCATGAATTAGCTTGGAAACAGGTGTTCAAGAGGATAGTGGGTGTCTTGCTCTCCACTCATCTTCCCAATTAACCTCCTCATCCTTCATTATCTTGCTTTTCATGTGTTTTATTTACCCATGCCTCCCTTAACAAAGTGAAGCACTTTCCATGTGGAAATAAGTCAGCGATTAATACTGCTTCTGTGTATTGCTATGTTCTTCAATACATTTATTTAGACAAAACTCAGCAATAATAGAAGAGCCAACATACTGGGAGGAGAGAAATACTTGTATCCTTACTTTTTTTTCTTTTCTTTCTCTATAGTTCTGAAAAGGGATTTTCTTTTCCCCTAGGCCAGTGATGGCAAACCTTTTAGAGACCGAGTGCCCCAAAACCGCCTCACCTCTGCCCTGCCCCCACCTCTTCTGCCCGCAGGGCCACCCACCACCTCCACAGCCCGCCACAGCAGTTCGCCCAGGCAGTCCAGCAGCATCATGGTGGCCACGCCCTCTGTCCGTGCCCCGCAGCATCTTCTGTATGCGATGGGGTGTGAGGGTGGAGTCTGGTCCCCCCTGCCCAGCTGCTGTGTCCTTGGCTGCACCGCTCCACGCAGGTTATGCCCGGG